GCTTGTAATTGTACGTTTAATCTAATGTTTATTGTAATATGTATTAATGTGATAAATTATTATATTTTAGTGTCCTATGTGCATGCGCCGAATAAATGAATTTGAATTTGAATTTGAATTTACTTTTAGTCAATTCTACAATAAAAGGTTTACTAATATTACAAATTATTGGAATATTCTTTAGGAATATTTTCAATTTAAAAGTTTTTTGCGATATGTAAAATACTTTTCCTTGTGAGAATAGTTTACTTATTTCTAATTAATAACGCTTATTCCGTTCAGTTGAATCAATTTTCCTCCGGATAGTGCAAGTGTATATTGTGAGAAAGAGACTCTTTAGTTTTGAGTGTTTAATGTGCTGAGAAATAGACTCATAATTACTTTTAGCTTAGTTAAGATTAGACTGTATTTTTCTCCAAGTTTCTTTTTTTAATTAGTCACTAGAACTTACATTATGTCTATGTCAAGGAAAAAGTGTTGTGTTCCTGGCTGCCTAGACTCTGGGAGTAAGTTTGTTTGATTAACAACCAAAATATTATATGTACAGTGGCGGACCATTAGCGCTCTTTCACTTCGCATCGATATTTGCATGAACATGCAGTGTTTACAACGCCCCGCCCACACACTCACTACTACAAATAACAAACCACTGTCCCTCAGTGCCGTGTGCAAGGATGCGTACTTGAATAAACACTTTTTTGTTAGTTTGTTTTTAGTTGCAATTTGCATTTCGCCCATTGTCAACGCATCTAATTGTGATATTATATTGTAAATCTTTCGACTGTGTATGCTACCCGGACTCCGATTCTTGCTCCCACGAAACCTCGGCTTTGTTTATTTGACTTCGATTCTTGCCACTTCGGAACCTCTGCTTTTTAAACTGGACTATCTTGTGTTGTGTTATTGTCTAATTAAAAAATAATGGCGCGCAATTTCACAAGAGAAGAGAGGAATCAAATATTAGTTTTAAGCGGACAAGGAAGAAATATTTCGCAGATTTCGAGAGAATTACATGTTTCGGTTAGTCATTTAAACATAAAGATTTATGTATGCTTTATATTAATGATATTATGTAAATAGAAAAACATTCCCATCTTTCGATTGCGCTTATAACTTAGGTTATAATGTTTTTGACTTTTGTTACATTATCTTACAATCAAAACAAAACAGTTATAATTATTTTCACAAAATACTCATATTTATATAGAGCGCATTATTTTGAAAAAAGCAATGCAAATTATTTTTAATGCAGTTAATGTAGTATGTAACAATTTCATCAATTGCGTCGTAAGAGTTATAAGATGTATACCGTGACTTCAACTTGAACAAACTTTGTCCTTAAAGAAAAAAAAATTATGCATGACATGATTTTATATCATTTAATTAAAATACAACAACTCTAATTTAATTTTGCAGAGAGAGACTGCTCGCCGCTGGATACGGTGAGATGCTGCAGAGGGCGTCGCCTCAGTTCAACAGGGTTCTATCTGACATTTTCGACTTTTTTGTACTCTATGACTCTATTTACGCATTTTTTCATTTCGGTTCTATCTGCATCAGAAAGTGTCAAAAATTTTATTTATTTCACGTTTTATTATCAAAACAACATAGTTCCATCTACATTTTGTGGTCATGTCGGTGCAACAGGGTTCTAAATGAAATTTATATGGAAGTTAGAACTTTGTTTCACAACTGGCAACACCGTGATATAACCCTGTCAAAATGACGGAACGTAGTGCATTGTATGAGATAAGCGGAGAAATTATCAATATTCCTGTGGAAAGCTGTGAAAATCAATCTGCAACGTCTAACCAACAGATGGAGGACATGATATTGGATGAAGAAACAGGAGAATTTCGGTCGGAAGTTGTTCAAAATCATGATAATTGGTAAGTTTAATGCACTGTATTTTTTGTGTTTACGTTGGAATATTACATTGTTTTCGTAGATTTTATTATACTAAATTTTTGTTTTAGCGTTCGACAAAATGTTGATGAGGAATGATCACGTTGTACTACCAGGAAACGGGTCAGGAGAACTAAAGATTGGCAAAGAATATCAGACAAAAACTGCACCAATCAGGCGAAGCATATACATCAAGTCGTGGAAAAGAAGTGCCAAAAAAAATCATTAAATATAAAAAGGACTGTTTTGCCGTTTGCAAGTACAATAGGCCTGTGTCGTAAATTTCAAAAATGGCTTATTTCGTTAGTTTCGTGCCTGTATTACCCCAAAATAATAATATTTCATGATAAAAATTATATTTAAAACACATATTTTAAGTTTAAAAAAAATATTTTCAATCTGACCTAAAAACACAAGAAAGTGTCATGGCGTCGTGAATGACGTCACATAGTGGCAAGCGGTTGTGTTCACTTACGGCAAAAGATTGTTTTGTTTGAATAAAAATGGAAACTTCGTATTTTAAAAACTGTATAGTGCCCCAGTGTATAAATACAAGTATAAAAACTCCGACTAAATTATTCATACGTGTTCCGGTCAACGAAAAAATGCGAAGAAAGTGGTTAAAGCTGGCAAGGAGGGATGGTGCTCATTGTTTATCAACAACATCGAGAATGTATTTTTGTGAAGATCATTTCGATGTAAGTATTATTTAAAAAAGTAGTGACTACATATTCAACTTGTAAATCTAAAGAAAAACCAAAGCTTTATTTGTTTTAAAACAACAATGCAACATTTGGTTTGAGGTTAGAATGTCTCAAATTTGTATTATGTTAAAACACAGCATTTATATTTTTCCAGTTGCCAAACGATATGCTGAATTATACCGAGTACCATATAATGGGAAAGGTATCTTATGTGCGAATGACCTAGTAAATTTGGATGTCAAGAAGATAGGAGAAAACGAACCTGCACCAGTGCAGAACGGCCATACATGATAAAAAAACAGAAAATGACTACAATAGCAGAGTGTCTTCAAGAAAGCTGTACACCTAGTACTTCCAACGAACTACAAGAACGTTGTACACCAAGTACTTCCATTGAACTACTCGAAAGTTTTACACCAACTACTTCCCAAGAACAACAACCTCAAACGAGTTCAGCAGGTATGTAATAAACTAAAAATATTATATCACATAACACATACTATTGTAACATTTTATGAGTATGTTCAAATTTAATCAAAAAAGCCTCAGTCTTGGATATGACATTCTTTACTCTTTACCAATCAATCTATAAAGGTTCATATCAGATTGCAAACATTATACCTACCTATCTTACAAAACCAAAAAATATAAATATTCTTCAAACACAGATTCATACTCAAATTCTAAATAGATGTATAATATCATGCACAGCTTCTTTTGATTCTTATCTTATATCTTGTAATTTTTGCAGGTTTTCAAATCATTGGAGAAAATACACCAAAAGTGGTTTAAGCCGACAGCAGATAAATCCATTCAAGTAATCATTACACATAAATATAGAAGTAAAGCGACCCAGACCAATGTGAAAACAATAGATCAAGCAATATCACCTTTGAAGCCATCGATAACATCTAGTTTTACATCCCCGTTTAAAGCAATTACCTGTAAAAAATCAAGACCTTCTCCATCTACCCTAAAGAAGGTTACTAAAAATATACTGATTTCAGAAGAACAGTCTGACAGTGATATTTCTCTATACACACCATCTGTGCCATCTGTTTCTACTAACACAAGCTCACCATCAGTGCATTCATTACAAGTGAAATCATCTTCAGATTGTAGTGATTTTATTGCAGAAAACAGAAAAATGGAAGCAGCCGAGACCTTATTGAGAACAATAAGTAAGATTGAAAATCAGCCCCGTACATATATTGGTGTGCCAAAAAACTGTTATTTCCTAATTGATATAATTAAAGACAAATTAGACATTCCCAAACATCACGTTTTGTTATGTTTAAATAAAATAAGATTATATTGTACACTAGCTGACCCGACAGACTTCGTCAATAAAGCTCAAATTGACTACGTTTTAGTTACAAATCATTTGTATGGGAAAAAGAAAAGGGCTATGTTTAGGGTTTTTCCAGCAATAATTCCAGCAATATTTTTCTCGCCGTAAAAACCATCCTTGAACTTCAACGAACATTTTAAAAAAAGATTTGGCCAAATTGGTCGAGGCGTTGTTGAGTTATGCGCTTACCAACACATTTTGCGATTCATTTTTATATATAAGATTTAATATTTTAGTAGGTGATTTTGGAACTAATGCGTCTAGTTTAAGTAAGATATTTACAAAAAATGTGCCTTTAATAGCTAGTGTTTTACGTCTCTTTATTGTGCCACTAGATAAAGATATTATAAAAATGACTCTACCAATGGCATTCAGGCATAAATATCACAACGTAAGTTGCATTATAGACTGCCTTGAGATAGAGATACAAAAGCCATCTAAGGCCGTAAACCAAGCAATGACTTGGTCAGAATATAAAAAAGCTAACACTATAAAATATTTAATTTCGTGTACTCCAAATGGGTTAGTTAATTATATTTCACCCGGATTTGGTGGCAGAACAACTGACACGTGTGTGGTAGAATCATGTGACTTTATAAAATCTTTAAATAGTGGCATGTGTATCATGGCTGATAGGGGCTTTAAGCATATAGAAAAATACCTCAAGAAATCAGCTATAACACTAGTAAGGCCTTCTAGTGTAGAAAAAGGAGCTCAAATGAGTAAAAGCGAGGCCAAAGAAACTAAACAGATTGCTAGTTTGTGCATACATATAGAAAGAGTGATTCGGCGCCTACGAGAATTTTACATGTTAAGACCACATGCCTGCCTTAATTTAAATTTTGTTAACATACTGGATGATGTAATTATTATTGCATGTGCATTGATAAATCTGCAAGATTCTTTAATAAAATAAAACTAAAAATTTTCATGATTGTTTTTTTTATTATACACAAATGTGCATGAGCACACAGCACAACTATAGCAGCAGTAAAGTCCAGCAATATTCATTACTAACACTTCTATGTAAGTACACATATTTACTTTACACTCTTATATAATAAAGGGTATATTTGATTTTTCCAGAAAACTATTAACTTATTATTAATTAAATTTTCAATATATTTCGATTTAAATGGTATATTTATCAAAGTCACTTTTTTATTATTATCATAGTCTGGGTCTGCTACACAAAAAACACATGTTTTTTTCTGTGTCAAGTACATTTGTAGTTGCATTTGAGCAAAATACTTTTCTGTAGCTTCTCCATTTTTTTCATAATTTTTGTAAGTTTTGCTACGCTGGGACATTTTATTTCATTAATACCATCTTGGAATATACCATCTGGTGATCCTGCGATTATTGGACATTTCTCACTTAACATAAGTCCACATTTATTCATCTTTTTTTTTAGTTTAATTTCCACTGTTTTCCTGACTTCATCTTCTAGGACTCTGCCTCGACTCATTGCTACCGTGTCGGGTATTTTCCCTCCCAAAATAAGTGATACAAGTGTGCCTTCTGCTGTCTTACAACGACTTACTTCATATGCTCTTGAAGCGGTTATGCGGCCATATCTCAATTCATACCATAAATTACACTTGTGCTGTTCTCTCGTTTCTTCCTCAACTTTATTTATTAAAGATTAAAGATTCAGTTAAACATATGTCTTTTAAAAAATCATCAACGCCTTTGTGTTTGTATTTGCACATAAGATGATGCATCGAGATGGCATGTGTGTCACTTAAAATGAAATCGTTACGGTACTTTGAAAGTTCACAATTTTGAATTTTCCTCTTCTTTGCTTCGTCCAAAAACTCTGTTAGCACTGATATATTTGCTGGTAATAATGCATTACCATTTGATAGTTCTTTTGCTGTCATAAATTTTAAGCTGGAACCAACTCTTGATAATCGGGATTTTTTTCCAGTAGCATTCTACTGCGGTACAAGAAGGCTCTTCACTACGGCGATGAACCCACATCAGGCAGGCTATTGCATGTTTGCAGCCACCTTTTGAAGCCACGCAGTCATGGCATTGAATGGAGATGATAATGTCCTCTTCTTCATCCACTACAAGTGTGCATCCATACAATTTTGCGTGAACTTTGTGTTCAGGACAAATCTTGCACATGACAGTGCATAATTTATCGTCACGCTTTAGCTGCACGTAGCTTATAGCGTCGTCACCGTACGAAGCTCGTGAAGACCTGAAATATAATTTGATATTAGCTATTTACATAATATTTTTTATTTGTTACCCTGGGTGCAAAGAAACATTTTTTTTTCTAATTCTTACTTTCGAAATAGGTAATTAAAAACCCACTATTCCACAAACTTGCGATAGGCCTTAAAACACTACGACAAAGTAGTGTCTTTCCATCATCTTTCTATATTTACATTGTAATACTAACCTCAAAATCTATTAATTGACAATTGGTATACATTCCTTCAAATAATAATTGACTGCGTACTAAGTGAAAATTATAATAAGCAGTATTTTAGTATTGCTTATACTTACATAGAAGTTTTAACATTACGAAATTCCGATGAACAAAAGTCTGTGTTCGACGCGAAAAAATCGGCCTAGCATAACAGCGTCAATTTTAGGTAAAGTATTGCTGTTCGCTTTGGTAAATCCAGGTTCCATGGCAGTTTATGCTAGTATTATTCGATGTAGGTAGAAATAACACTCTCAACTTATCGAAAAATGATATTAATAGAAAAAAAACAAAGTTACTTGTGTTGCTGTATCAAAAAGTTAACCAAGCGTCAACAACAACAATGGCGCGTATCACCATGTGACGTAATACGTTCTGATTGGCATTCACAGCGGAGTGGCCAGGGGGGTACTTTTTTTTATTTTAATTTGTAAAAATAACAATAATCTTAAATTTTTATGTGGAATTATTTCGGTTTTCCTTGTTTAAATATTACAATTTACGCCTAGAAACATTCATCCATTGGTTTCATTGTTAGTTGACACAAGCCTATTGCAGCAAAGCAATATCTGAAGACCAAAGGATGGATATATTTACTTCCTATTATAGCATGCCGTCACAAAATGAAAAGTATCATTACATCTTGAATACATCAGAGCGAAAAAATCAAAAAACGTTGTACTACTGCATCAAACAAAAAAAAGTTCTCATACTTTTTTATTTTGAAATTCAAGGTACAAGAATAAGAGTGTGCAAGAATTACTACCTTGGCACTCTAGCAGTATCGCAGAAGGTTGTTTATGGAGTACATGAAAGGAAAAATACTGCAACTGGTGTCCCTCAAAATGATCAAAGGGGTCGTCATGGTAAGCAGGTCAAGGTTTCAGATGTGCATAAAAATAAAATTCGCCAACACATTAATTCCTTCCCAGTTTTAGCTAGTTTGAATCGCACTATTGCCGCTCAACAACTAAAAGACAATATCTAGAGACTCGTTTAAGCATTGCAATAATGTATGAAAAATATGTACAACTACATGAAGAAGATAAAGATGACCCGGTAATAAAAAAGCACATGTACGCTGTTATGTTATATTATCTATGGCAACACTGGCACAACATCACCGGCCCGCCACTAACTTGTCATGTCAATAATAGTAAGTCATATATTAATTAAAATAACTATTCAACAAGTCTGTCGTATAATTTAATAAACAAAAACACAATATCAGGTGTGGTCGGCACGGCACGTGGCGTACAAGAAGATGGCGGAACCAAAGTCTCAGACTTCCCAGGTATTTAGTGGGTCTACAGTGCGCCTTCCATTACAATCAATTGAGCCAATGAATACTACTGCGTCAAATTTATCATTATGTTGGAAAAATTGGTTAACAAAATATAAAATTTATCTGAGGGCATATAATCTGGATAACGAACCAGACGACAGAAAAGTCGCACTGTTGCTCCATCTTATTGGCACTGATTGTCTGAACATATTTTATTCATTTAATGTGGAAATCGATAAAATCAGTCTAAAAGAACTGCAACTAAAATTCACAGAATACTTTAGCCCAAAAGTTAACATTACTATGGAGAGACACAAATTGTTTAATCGCAAACAAAAGGAAGAAGAAACTTTGGACTCTTACATTACAGATCTAAAAAATATTGCGTTGCAGTGTAATTTTGATACCATGCACGACAGCCTATTAAAAGATATTTTTAGTTGGAATCTTAACGATACTAATTACTATATTAAGGAGAAATTGCTTCAAGAAAATCCTTCTACTTTAGATGCTGCTATAAATATTGCTAAATCACTAGAAAGTTGTCGTAAACAAGCCAAGCAACTCATATCAGTATTAGTATTATATCAGTATTTTTGTCAAATAGAGTTATAATACCTATGTCATTAAGAAAAGAATTTCTCAAACAGTCATTGTTACACATAGAACCCTGTTGAACTGAGGCGACGAGGGGTCAATTGAAGATCGGCCCCGAGCACATCCACCGTCTATATTAACTCCTGAGCGAGTATCTGATATGATAAACATATATCAAGAGTTTCCGTTCACTAAAACGTCCCATTTCGCGTCTGAATATGACTGCAGCGTGAGGACCATAAGCATTAGTTTATCATTAGAGTAACGCTATTGTAATCTAAAACTAATAAAAATTGTTTCTATCTTCCATGCATATATTTTAGAATAAAGATAATATAAAAGGTATAAATAATAAATGTGATTTATTTATAATATGTGATTGTAATAAACATCCATTTTATTCAACATTAGCTTATCATCACTGGGCTAAAGCTATTGATAAATTGTAATCATATTTGAGTATTTTCTGTGATACAAATTTTTGAGGGATTGTTTTCATCTTTCATCTTGTAATTTTGCAATCAAGATTTTTACGTTAAGGATTACAATACCTCTAATGCAATTAATAATAATACTTTTAATTGAATATATTATTTATTAATTTATTGTTATGAAGAAGGCCGATTAAATCGTTTTACGAAAAGTAATGTATTTCCTTCATTTTCCTAATATGAATAAAACTCATTTAATAAAATATATAAATGTTAAAAAAACACACACATAACAAATATATAACACTTATATGACTTTAACAGGATAGCATTCAGAAATCTTTGCTGATATTTAGAAAAGAGATATACTAAAATGAAACTCGCCGTAATATATTTAAACATAAACAACTTTGAAAATAAATTAAATTTTTGGCATGACAATTATTAATCATTTGTCGGAAGACTTACAGCTGATCAATATGAGGTAATAAAACTCAATAAAGTCAATTAAAAGTCATAGCAAGAGAGTAAAATTAGCAAATACGTATTATAACATAGTAAAAATTATACCCACACCTATGCAATTAAACATTATTTTTATTAATAGTAAATTCAAATTAATACAATAAATAACCCTTATTATTTTTTAACGCTGAGAATTGTAAAATTGTACAAATATTATTAAAATAAAAAATTGTTGTGGACTTCGTTTTTGAATTTAATATTTTTTTATTTAAGTATTGCTTTATATAAAACTGTGAAACTGAAAAAATGGTTTCATTTGAAATCGACTAATCAATTTTGTATAATGTATTTTAAATACACTTTATTTTAAACACAATTGATTTGTTTTTCTCAGTATATAAAACTATTATATATAATAAGTAAATTATTATATTTGATAAAGGAGACGAGGATGTCTGGGCCCAAATGTAATAGACTGGGGTATGGCTTAAAACTGAGGTGTTATTTTTCTGTAACTAATTGTAAAAATACGACTAAATTCGCAATCTGGAAGAAGAGAAAACTAAAAATGAGTAATATGCATAAATCATACCGATTATCGATTGATAATTAAGTCGTGATTTTGTTAAGCCTTTTATTTTTTGCGACCTTTTAGCTCATCGAAAAATAATATTAAAACCATTTTAGTTTAATATTAATAATGTATTTATATCCCAAGGAAGACCATTGTGGAAATGCAGCTACAATCACCAGATCTATCGTCACCTGAATCATTACCGGATAATAGACCGAGTCAAATTGGCAATCAGGATGTGTGTATCAGCTGTGGAGCTTCTCTTGCAACTGGACTTACTCATTTACTCCACAATAACTCTTCTCGTGAAACGAGAATATGCAATGTTATCCGAGAATGGATTATTCCTCGACCCGTAAGTAAATAATTTGTTAAGTGATAATATTGGTTCTTTTACTGTTTGAATTAATTCGTCACTAAAGTTAAGCTCCTATTTTCATAAAAGTATTATGGTTTTATATTATTTTATTATTAAATAATTTGTATATTATATAAGTAGATACTTATACTTATTAATATTTGTTTAGCTGCAAGTAGACAGTCACATATGCCACACTTGTTGGGTGGCTGCGGACAGAGCTGCTGTCCATATGGTCTCTGGCCCATCAACATCGTCTGAAGGAAGACCAGTGGAAATACAGCCACAGTCGCCAATTCTTTCATCATCTCAACCTTCAAATGAAGCAAACCAGGTTGAGCCTACTATTGTGTTACCTGAGTATATTAGAGCAATTGAAACACAAAGAAGCTGTTTTATCACAGGATGTCAAAGGACAGAGAGGTACAGAATTTCAATTGCCACTAGAAAAATGTTGCTCAGTCGGTATAAATATTATATATCCCTGAAAATAATCGTCTTTGCGATCGTCATTTGGTCATAGAAGGATGGGATTTTTTGGACAGTTTATCAAATAACTATGTACGATCTTTTACTGCAAAACATATACAGGACATGATGACTTTAAAAGATGTTCCTAGTTCAAGATGCCATGGAAGATCATGTTGTGCATACCTGGCTCGGTGTGAACATTGCACAGTTCAATGCACTGCTTGCTGAATTGCCTCAATTGTTAGAATTAACAAGAGGATCACTAGCTCTGATAGCGTTTCTTATGAAACTCAGAACAGGAGAACCTGATGAGCGATTGGCAACTTTATTAAAAGTTTCAAAAAAAACATTTGAAAAGCGGTTGCACCAAGTTAGAGAGTTATTATCTTTACATTTTGTACCAAGCTATCTTGGTTTACACCACATTAGAAGGGAAGAAGTAATTGAAAGAAATCTTATTATACCAAACACTTTGTTTGGTGAATTGGATGGAACAAATATGCCCATCGTAATATTTGACGAAACATACTGTTATATACAAAAAAGCTCTAATTATCTGTATCATAAAAGAACATACAGCATGCACAAATACCGTAAACCTTGTAAAGCCATTTTTACTGGTGTGTACAGATGGCCATATTATAGATGTTTTAGGCCCGTACCCAGCCACTACGTCTGACGCAGACATAATGACGAATGAATTTTCGACTGAAGGAGCATTACGGGAATATTTTGAGGAAGGGGATGTTTTTATTCTAGATAGAGGTTTCCGTGATGCATTGCCCTTACTGCATCAATGTGGATATAGGACTCACGTGCCTGCTTCATTACGGGAGGGTGAAACGCAATTATCTACTACTGAGGCAAATAAATCAAGAGCAGTCACCATATGCCGCTGGGTTGTGGAAGTTGTAAACGGGAGATTTAAAAGAGATTTTAAATTGTTACGGCAAAATTATTTTAATGTGGCCAGTAAGTCTTTTATGGTAGATTTTAAAGTGGCTGCTGCTCTTTTAAACAAGTTTCACCCTCCCATTGTTGATCGTGTTGATGCTGGGGAAATTATAGAACAAATAAATATTAAAATGAATAGAGAGAATGAATTAGCTGAGTTTATCATTAGAAATAATTATAATAGACGTCGGGCTAATTTCGAAGAAATAACCGTAGAAAATGATAATTTAAATGATTTTCCCCATCTTACCCAGAGCGAACTGATATTGATATCATTAGGGACGTATCAAATCAAGCAGGCACGGTCCTATATTGGTGAGCATATTCGACCAAATGATGGTTTTGTAATAGAAGTGTGCAGGGAGGTCAGCAGCAGCCTACTAAGAGAGCTGTCGGCTTCAAACACCTCATAATTATTGATGGGACGGATCCAGTCACGACACATAAGTCGAAAAACTTACTTTGTTTATATTTTAGTCGACAGCTCTCGCAGAGGTAGAGAAGCAATCTTGCAATATTATTGTAACTGCATCGTAGGGAGACGAACAGTAGGCTGCTGCGCCCACGTAATGGCCATAATATGGTACCTTAATTGGGCTAGGTACCAAGATATTTTAATTAGAATTGGAAACGAATAAAAAACAAGTAAAAAATATGCATTTTTATTTATGTCAATACTAGGGACAATCATCGTCATGTTGAGTTACCTCCTTGCAATTCCTAAATAGCGCCTGCGTCCTAAACATAAGTCGTTTCAAAGGCCAAAGTGGGCTACTTAACATGACGCTGTGTGTACCTACATCTCCTTATCTATGATCAAAGATAAACTTACAAATGACTAGCAGCTAGCGAGTCTCAAGTGTTCTGGATAGATCTCGTCCTGGTTTCTGTGCCGTGCTGCTACATAATGCACACCTTATGCGAAAAGCTCTTATGCTGCACGCAAAAGCTGCATCACAGTCTGCGGTCTATGGTCGTAAGCCCAAATTATTTTTTATAGCCAAATACAATTGATTTTCTATTCTGTCTGCTGTCTGGGTCTTACGAGGCTATAGTTAGCTAGGTTTTCAGAAGCAGACCGCAGGCTATGATTCGTAGTATAAAATCCGCACGTAGAACGCGTGCTTCAACCGAATCCATCGCTACACTATGACCTATTTAATTGCTCGCACTGTGTAGTTTATATTGGCTACTCGCTATTTCACCCAAAAAAGAATACCTACGAAATGTGGCAGATTCAGGCTGTTCTCAGGGTTGTGAGTTAAAATAACCTCACTTATTCAAAATCTCATATGTATATCTTTTCTCCTGGATTGGCAAAATTGGCGAAATTGATAGGAACAGTAAGTTTTTATGCTACCTACTATTTGGCATCATTTTGATCTCTTTACATTTAGGCCCAGGTTTCTAAGAAAGAGGATCCGTCTCCTTTCGCATTCACAATGCTATACTGAAAATTATTCTTAATACAAATATCACCCGGATTACAAAAGGTCATGGGTTCGAGTCCCATCTCAGGGTTTTTTAAGAATAATAAAAAATAAACATGAATTTATTGCATTTTTACCAATCTTGCGTTAATAATATATAATTATTTTTCTTATAAAACCCACTATTTGCTCAATAATTATAAAAGTAATAAAACTGGCCATCAGAGCAGCGTATACAAAAAATGAATCTTCGAGAATTTTCATTATTTAACAATACACGAAAAATCATAAATTAGCAACAGCCGGTCTAGTCCGCGTTGGCAACGTCGCAGCAATATGCAACAGACAGGCGTTCCATTAATGAAGCGGGTGAGATTTTTACGTTACTTAAGCGCAAGCGATATTAGCCTTATGGGTGAAAAAGCGGACCTGTCCGGCATTGTACCTACTAGCTGTGCCCGCGACTCTTTATAATGTGATAATAATTATTTTCTGTTTTTAGATTCACATACCACTTTGCATTTATTTCCAAACCCAACAAGAGAAAAAGAACGTTTAAACCAATGGATTTATTCAATTGGAGGTGATATTATTGGTTTACATGACCAAGATATATATAAACGTCGCAGTGTATGCCATGCACACTTTGAGAAAAAGTTTTGTGGCCCTTTTAACAGAATCAGCAAGAATGCGGTGCCGACATTAAATTTACAAGGTTAGTGACATTCAAGTAGTTAAACGAGTATTAAGGAGTGTTTCTAATACCATTGTGAAGAAGAATAGATGCAAATCATATTTCGCAAAATTCTTGGGATTGCGTGGGCGCATAAGAGTACTGCAACCAGCAGGTAGATTGCAAAAAGGTAAGATTATAGAAGAATTGAAATAATTTTTTTTACGGGATGATATAAGTCGCAGTACAAGTGGGAAGAAAGAATGTAAAACTATTGACAAAGAGAAGCAACAAATCCGATATCTAACCGACAAATTATTCAATTTATATAACATTTATAAGAATGAGGGGGGACGATTCAGTTTTGCTACTTTTTTTAGACACAAACCAGCATATATTCTTTCTCCAAATATCCATAACCGCAACACCTGCTTATGCGTGAAACACAGCAACATGGAAATGATAAACTCGAGTTTGATAAGAAATGGTGTAATATCTAGAAATTTAAATTCCATCACTGATGCAATCTCTAAATTGACTTGCGATTTAAGTTCCTATAATTGTTTGAATGGGAGATGCACAATTTGTAAAAATATTAAATTATCTTATGTGTTAGAAAGAGAGGCTTTGACTAAAAGGGTCTACTGGGAACAGTGGGAACGTGTCGACTATTCTTATGAGAAGGCGGAAAAAGGGGTAGTGAAAAAATATACTACCAAAAAGATGGTAAAAAATAGAAAACATGGTACAATCACAGAATTAATACAAATTTTTGAAAGAAATATACCCTCATTTAAGATTCATTTACACAATTGGAAACATCAACAAAATAAATATCGTGAGAAAATATTAACATTAGGTCCATTCGAAGCATTGATTCTTCGTAATTTTAGCGAAAATTATGAATGCAAGTCGCACGAAGAGGTACAGGCCACTCATTTTGGAACTTCTAAAAGTCAAATTACTTAGCATTATGGCATAATTTACTGGGCTTCTGAATCGCAATCATTTTGCTCTGTTTCGGACAACAAATGTCATGAACCGCACGCAATTTGGGCTCACCTCCTTCCAGTCATTAAATTATTAAATTTAAGATGTCCTGAAGTTAAACGCATTCATTTTTTCTCCGATGGACCTAGTTCACAGTACAGGCAAAAAAAAATTTTTCTTTCTCCTTAACTTTTATACTACTAAACTAGGTATTGACATATGTACTTGGAACTTTTCTGAAAGTGGGCATGGAAAGGGAGTAGCCGATGGTATAGGTGGGTCTGTAAAGAGAACTTTAGATAAGCAAGTTGCTTATGGCTGGGATATCACAAACGGTAAAGAAGCCTTCGAAATTCTTAAGTCTGCGTCCAAATCAATAAAGTTCTTTTTCGTTGAAGATTTTGAAATACAAATGGTTCAGAATAATGTTCCTATTGACCTAAAACCGGTACCTGGTACCCTCCAAATACACCAAGTTTTATGTACGTCTAATTCCTCAATCTTACAATACCGGGTATTAAGTTGTTTTTGCCAAATTGATTATATTTGTGAATGTTTTGAATTAAAGAAGCATTCCCTTCCAAATTGCCCAACAGACAAAGAACCTTTTAATCTAATACATTCACCTGAGCTTACTCTTACTGGAACATTACTTGAATCCAACACAAAATTTAGAAGACAATTTACATCTAGAAAATAATTTTACGACAAAAAACTTACCAATTATAAATGACTCCAGTTCAAACTTTATTCTTACTGAAAACAGATGGGAGGTAAATTTCTTAGACACCTTAATTGATTCTACAGTTTCTGATGTGACTGACTATAGCTTACAAGATCATTCTCTAAAAAGACCAGCTTCTTCTATGAATGCATCTACAAAAAATATATCGATAAAGAATCATATTGGCGATAAAGAAAATAAAAATCCTTCTATTAGGACAGTAGTATCTAGAAGTTTGGAGTGCTACGCATGTAAAAAAAAAATTAGATTCCCGTCGGCACACTCAACTAAATGTATATCGTGTTTAAAATGGTTTTGTACAAGTTGCAGTGAAGATAATAATAATATTGATTTTAATTGTAGGAAATGATTTGGTGAAGAATACATACTATAAAAAAACTTTAAATATCAAACTTATTACTAACTTATTCATTTATAATATTCTTCACCAAAAGATCTCATTTATGACTGAATTTAAATGATCTCATTTACTTGGTAATTTGTTTGTATTTTTTACTTTTGATGGTAAATTTATCAACATGGCTTTCAAGACCAAATCGTAAACTATACGCAATATATGCATTGTCAGTTCTTCGAAATAGCTTATAGTTTGGCCAGGAATTAAACTCAAGCTTTTGAATAAAAAAATATCAACCTATATTATGAAACCAAACGACTCACGGGACTGATTTTGACAAAAGGTAAATCTGCATCTTCAATCACGTCTAATTTCAATATCGAACAATATGTATATTATTACCGAGAAATCCTTTTTTCTTCCAAGATGATTCTTGATAAATTATCTTAGAAGAAAATGATTTCTTCGTGTCTGTGTGCGGTCGAGTCTTTAAATAAAATGTATGAAAAACAAACCTTTCTTTGAAAAACATAGATTTCTTTTGATTTAACTCATAACATTGCTGTTTTAGATTTGTTCCTAATCAATAACATAATAATTTGGTGTCATAATACAGGCTGATATTTTTTTGTTCAAAAGTTTTGGTTTATTTCTTGGCAAGCTATTTTGAAGAACTGATAATGCAGACTTAGATAAATATTATATGCGTAGTCTTTTGACCATTTTTTTGATATTCCTTATAGTTAACGATTTGGCCCTGAAAGCCCTCTTGGTAAACTCACCTGCACATGTTATTTATAAAAAAAACATGTTGATTATTTCTATCTTACATAGAATTATGACTTCAGAAGTAATTATTTTACGCAGATTTGGTGTAATGTTGATCTCATTTTTCTGTTAATGTGTAATAGTCTTAAGAATTATGTTCCGTTATGGGATCAATCCCTTCCGTGACTGTCCTTTATTAAATATTCTTTTATATTTTGTTTAGCGTGCAATGCTATTTAATTAATTTATGATGTTAATATTTAAAGTGTAATAATTTGATTAATGTTATTTTTAAAAAAGGACTTATATTTTGTAATAACTGAGAATAGTAAACAAAAAGTATTCAAGTAACTTGGTCCAAAGAGTAACATAATGGAAATGAAAATGATGATTATGTATGTTGGATATTGTTGATGTTATATTTTATCTATTTTGTTTTATAAAAAATAACATGTGTCGTAAATTAAACTATTTCATTTAATTCCTATGACTTTTATTATATTTCTCTAATTGAAACCAAGTAGTTTCGGAATGGAATAAATTTAGTCATACAGAGATAATAAATCGGCAATATTGCGGTAAATAAACCTGTTAAAGAGGTTTTATTATTATTTTCATATAGAGAAAAGAATTTCAAATCTAATTTAAATTGAAAAAACACCATAATACAAAATATTTAAAAATCAACATATTTTTAATATTGTACACTTTCTGTGAAAATGACCCAAATAGTAACTTGTCTTTAGAATTTGTCAGAACGAAACTTTTAGACCACGTTAGAAAACAAGAAGATCCTACTCATAAAGATAGACAAACTACATTTTTCAGTAATACCATAATATGTTATAAATGTAAAAAGAAAGGACATAAATCATATGAGTGTCGCATGTCCAGCCAAGGTCGTGGAAGAGACTATAAAAATAAAAGAGGCAGACGTGGTGCTGCTCATCCAACACATGAGGATGAGGGGAGCTCGCTCACATTTATTGCTACAGAAATAGCATGTGCAGCTAAAGAAAACATGAATATTATATCCTTTGTTGTTGACTCTGGGGCAACACAGCATTTTATTTAGGAATGTTATGAAAAATATATAACAAATGTGGAAGAATTAAGTTGCAAATTACAATGGACAAATTACATTATTAATTACAAATGAAAATGGACAAGTGCTAACTGCTACAAAGAAAGGAATTTTGAGAGCCACACATAACAATAGAGCAATAAATATAGAGGCTGTGATATTGCCTGGTTTAAGCACAAACCTCATTTCAGTATGAAGCTTGTGGAGAGAGGTATGAAAGTATTATTCAAAAAAAAGTAAGCTACTTGTAATACATAACAATATAAAGTGTTATGGAGAGAAACAATGACAGTTATCGGATCCCGGGATCCCGCACCACTTATTAATGTTCTGGATCCCGCACCTTTAAAACGCGGATCCGCGGATGGCGCTAATTACAATTTTCCGCTAAAACGTTCTTGTAGTTTCGCGTAAGAAAGCGAGTAGCGCGAGTGCGACGTTGCCGTTTCGCACAGTGGCGGAGGTTGGCGGGGGACTTCGTGTCGGTTCGTGTTCTTGCAGTCAGTCGCACGCGTCGTGTCTGTAGGTGACAGTGTTTTCGTACTACGGTCCAGCGTGCGTTCAACATAAGTATATTATTAATTTTGATTTAGTTTTTTATTTGTGCTCTTTCAAATGCAGATTATGCTGTAAATAGCAATATAATGTTGTAATGATAATGTAATGTTGGATATTCACGTATAAGTTATTTTTGTTTTGATGAACACATAATATTTGTTATCGATGATAATAGTTATACATTAGACTTTATTAAAAACATATTTCCAGGTAACGAGTGAATGAATCATGTCCAAGTCTAATGAAACTGAGAATTTCGAGAGAGAGAATAAAGGCGACGGTGATGGCGACGGCAGCGCCGGCAGCGTCGGCACCCAAATTGGTATAGGTCTGTGGCGTTATTTCAAGAAAAGTGACTAAGTTGGCAAATGTCTTATGTGTTCAGATGAACTAAAAATTAGTCAACGTTCTACCAAAGGCTTAAAAATACATTTAAAGACTAAACATAATATCGATATCAATTCTCGAAACGATGAGACTGGAGAAAAATCCTTACCAGTTGTACCAAAGAAGAAACCCAAAACTTTGGACAGTTTTGTTATCAAAGAAAACTCCATGGACAAAACGATCTCTAGGATGGTATGTAAAGACGGATTCACCTTAAGTTCCTTTTGCACATCTTCGGATTTAAGAGATTTATTTTCTAAAAGCGGACACAAATTACCAAACTCGCCAAATACGATAAGATCTATCGTAACAAACTTTAGCAACACAGTCAAAGCTGACATGATTATAGAATTTGAACGTCTCAAGAAAGGAAAACAGAGATTTTCACTCACATTTGACGAATGGACGTCACAAAAAAATCATCGATACTTAAATATCAACGTTCACCAGAAAGAAAATCATTTCAATCTGGGTTTGGTACGTATACAAGGCTCGGCTATCGCAGAACATTGCATTAGCTTAGTAAAAGAACGCCTAGCGAGTTTTGGTCTAGACTTAGACACAGATATTATTGCATGTACAACGGACGGCGCTAGTGTGATGGTGAAGGTTGGCAAGCTTTTGCGTTGTTCCCAGCAGCTTTGTTTTACACACGGCTTGCAGCTAGTGGTAGTTGATACACTGTATAAGAAAAGCAATTCACCAATACCAGAATGCCCAGCAGCCTCAATTGCGACGGAGTCTGATAATGATGACGACGATGATATGGACGGATTGGACGCGAATGAACAGGGCGTAACTGTAAATATAAATTCACCACCACTTGAAATGACTTCTACATATGACAATTTATTGAAGAAAGTGCGAAAAGTGGTCAAGATTTTTAAACGGTCACCAACTAAAAATGACGTCTTTTTACAAAAATATGTAAAGGAACAAGAAGGCCCTAAAAAAGAATTGGCATTGATATTAGACTGCCGGACTCGCTGGAATAGTCTTTTAAATATGTTAGAACGATTCTATAACTTAAAGAATTGTATCGATAATCGATATTGAATCTGAAATTAAATTCAGCGATAATGAGTGGTTCAAAATCAATGATCTCATTGCCAGCTTGCAGCCTTTTAAATTGGGAGCTGAGGCACTGTGTAGGCGAGAGTCAACGCTTATAACTGCGGACATAACATTTCAATTTATTTTGGATAAATTGCAACAAAAAAATACGGTGTTGAGTAACCAGTTAACTCAGAGTCTACATGAACGTATTAAAGAACGCCGCACTAACTTGACAGGAATTTTAATTTATTTACAAAATCCGAAAAAGTACGACCAAGAAGCCAAAAATACAGATCGTACTCAAACATTCTTCATGCCAAAAAAAGCTGCAATACGCCAAGAAATAAAGAAAATAATAGAGAGAGTCAGTACTGTTGAAGACGACGAAATGTATGCAGGTGACGTCTTCGAAAATACATCTATAGCTGGAACATCCGTAACTGTAACTGACACAGCTTCTACACTTACGCTAAAAGAAGAATTAGAAAAACAGCTTCAACAAGAAAAAGAAATATTTAAGAAAAGACCAGACAATAAGCAAAAGGATTATGAAAAAAATTTGAAGAAAGAAATGGCATGTTTCGAGTCCGATGGTATCAGAGGAGAGTACCTGACGCTCGCCTATGAATATATCATGACTGTTCAGCCTACTAGCGTAGAAGCTGAGAGAGCGTTTTCGGCATCAGGATATATTTGTAGTTCACTCAGAAGCAGGCTTGGAGATGATACTATAAATGCCATTTGCTTTTAAGAGCGTATTTGCAAAAGTCACAATCGTAATAATACCATTTAGTTATTTAGATAAGAGAAAGTTGTGATTTGACAATGATTAGTAGTTATTGTTTTTGTTGTTGTTGATTACTTAGTTGTGATTTCTTTAGTCATTATTATGAATAAGACTGAATAACAAAATAGTATAAAACTGTTGTTAGATGTAAGGGTATAATTAAACAAAACTTTGATGGCAAACATTTAAAAGCTAAGATTAGTAAGACTGATTACTAAATTACTCGTACTTAATTATATAATTTAATTGTTATTTTGTTCGAAAACAAATATTTTTTTTGCATAATGTGAGACATGTTTAATTACTCGTAATAAAACTTGATTATTTAAATAAAAACCTGTAGTTTCAATTCGATTTTATAACATAATTTTAAAGATGCGGGATCCCGCGGGATCTTGCGCGGGATTGATCAATCCCGCATATCAATCCCGCGGGATTGAATGAGCTGCGGGATTGCAATCCCTAATCAGGACCAACTAATGTGTCAACTAAAGTAGGACACAGGTATATTCATACAATAATTGATGCTTATAGCCATTTTACATGTACATATTTATTGAAAAACAAGTTTGAAGCAACAGAAAACCTAAACTCATATATAAAATAAATGGAAAGACAAAAGGATGTTAAAGTAAGAAGAATTCGATGTTATAATGGTGGTGAATTTACAGCAAGAAAATTAAAAGAATATTGTACACATAATGGAATAAGGATTCAATATACTCAAAAGTATAGCCCACAACAAAATGGCAAAGCCGAGAGAATGAACAGGACAATTTTTGACAAAGCAAGAACAATGTTAGATAAGTCAAATCTACCAAAGTATCTTTGGGGACAAGCAGTATTGACTGCCACATACTTGATCAATCGATCACCTTGTTCTTCAATACAAAATAAAATACCGGCAAAATTATTTAATAAAGAAATGGATTTACATAAGGTGAAGATATTTGGAAGTAAAGCTTGGGTACACATAATTCCCAAACAAGGAAAACTGTCAAGTAGAGCTACTCCAGTAAGATTTGTAGGTTATGCCATGAACGGTTATAAGTTATGGGATCCTATCGCCGGCTTTTTCGTCTTTCGTCTTTAGCATCTTTTCGTCAAACCGCGTCGTCATGTACGTTGTGCACGTGGAAGGCAAACTTCACGCCTCTTAAATTCTGTGAATCCTTAATATTCGTCGCCAACTCCTTCAATCCCGGACGAGCTCCCAATTTGTGGGAAGAATAAAGGCAATCGTGGCTTGACATTACGTATATTTCTTCTTTATAATAATATTTTATACACCACCAATCTTCTTACGTCTGTCCTCAGTCTTTCGTCGTCCATTCGTCTTCCCACTTGACTCATACCCCTTCTCTTTCAGACATTCAATACGTTCTTTTACACACATTTCAATTATCCTACTGTGACGGGTTCGGTGCTCGGGTCAATTAATAAGACTGACTAGCTTGAGTATGGATTTATTAATTGTATAAGGATAAAATAAAGAAACCCTTTTTGGGTTTCTTGTTAAGAACTTGGATCGTTCAAGTTACAGATTACAATTCACTATGTAATATAATTTGTATCATAATGTCTTCTTAATCATTATCAACAATTAATTTAAAATTTTATAATAAAATTTATATGATATAATACGATAATATGTCGATTTACATATTATTCACAGATGATTTTTTTAACTTGTATAATAAGTTAAACGAATCACTCATATTTTTCGATAAATGTAATTATAACTGTAAAAAGATGGTAATAAAATACCTCTTGAATCTCACATATGAAGAAACAGAATCACTCATTCGTCCTTTAACATAAAAT